GACATCCGGGTATAAATAGGCCAGCCTGGCATTTGCTTACTAGTTCTGTTCTTCGGAGCCGATGCAGCGTCTGCATTTTTAAGCAGCAGCAGCACTGCGTTCACCTCTCAATCTCCTCGTCATTGGATCTATGGCACAAGTAGCGGTTTCTCTTTTGCCCATACACAGATAAGTGTAGTGAGAGTACCCCTGGGTGCTTCAACGGCGATCTTTGAGAGCAAATTTCCTCTTAAAGAGAAATTTCTCTAAAAGAAATCCTTATCTCTAAACAGATGGATTTGTATGTTTACAGCATGCCTTTCAATTTGTATCCTTCTGTTTGCAGTTTGTAGATCTCACCCTCTGACAGGCACGATTGCTGTGCTCAGTGTTTGGGCTGCGCCTATGCTGAAGCAGCTTTTGTGGATGTTCTTCTCTTTGTGGATGCTCGCGGCTCGCCTTCTTTTTTTTATAAAGACCATGAGTTTACCTCAGCTGCTTCCCATCCTGGCCCTTCTACTTCCGGGTACAAGGCCTCGATGATGTGCTTTCTTCCCGGAAGTGCATGAGGAGCTGATGAAATCATGGAAGGCACCTTTCTGCCATAACACGTTACTCTGGTTCCTCTGTTCTCACCACCCTTGACAGTGGTCCAGCGAGGGAATATACGGAGGTTCCCCGGGTGGAGAGAGTGATTGCAGTGCATTTGCGCACAAGATGACGCCGCATGGAGGGGTCGTCCGAGACTCCTGTCTAGAGCATATAAGTTACCTCGTCCTTTGTTGCTAGAGCTTATACTGCTTCTGAACAAGCTGTGTCCGCTCTGCACGCAATGGCTGTCCTGCAGGTATTCAGGCCAGGGTCTGCACAAGGGTGGTCCCAACCCAGAGAATGCAAGGACTGCGTTCAGTGACTGACTATGCCCTCTGGGATACGAAAGCCACGCCGCAGGCTCTGAGGATGGCGATGTCTACATTAGTGGTCCAGGAGCGCTACTTGTGGCTCAAGCTGGCAGAGATGCGGGAAGCTGAGAAAGTGCGCTTTCTCGACGCCCCCATTTCTCAGGTTGGTCTCTTTGGCGACACCATTGATGAATTTGCACAGCAATTCTCCACGGCTAAAAACAAACGGAGGCCAGTAAACGCATCCTGCCTCGGCGTGGGTCTGGTTCTACGGCCCCCTCTGAGGACTCCTGAGACCTCACAATGGCCAATCACTCGCAGGAAGGTGGCACTGCCAGCTCGTCCTCAGGATGCTAAGAACTTTTTGTAGCGATCCTGAGATGGGTGACCCAAGGAGGAGGGACCAGCTGACCAGCCTAGCTCCACTTCTGCCGGGGGGACTGAAGGTGGATCCTGCTGGGTGGATCCACATGGCAGAGCAGTGTTATTTAAAGAGCCATTCCTCCTTTCCTGGTCACACTCCCGGCATTTCTGGCCCTCCCATGTGTGATGGCCAGACACTAAAATTGGGCAACAGAGCCTGTTTGGACACAGATTCTGATGCAACAAGACAGTCATGGAGTCAGTATGACGCACGTCAGTGACCTCCGGTTCACGCATTTGTCAGTGACAGCTTTGAAAGAGCTGGCAGACAAGGCATTGTGCACCCCGAAGGACATACGTCCTCTGCCACTGTGACTTCTGTTTCACAAAGCTGCAGGAACCCTGCCCCAGGTACATCAAATGTAATTCCAGTGAGACTGTTGGCAAGGTGGATGCTTGGTTAAGCTCCCCAGATCTTCCTGATGGCTACTCAGGACCATTCGGCTCGGCTATGCAATTCAATTTGGAACCCTGCTCCGAGGCAAGTGGAGGCTTCACCCCCAGCCGGTCCAGCTGTTTTGGAATCGATTCAGTCAGGCGCAGATAGATCTGTTGGCCTCACGAGAATCCACTCATTGTCTACTGTGGTTTCCCTCACCAAGGCCCCCTCGGCACGAACACACTGGCACACAGCGGGCTCAGACCTATGCGAATATTCGTTTCCCCCAGTGAGCTTCATTGCATGGACACTGTGCAAATTCAGGGAGGACATGGAACAACTCTTGTTTGTGCCAGATTATTGGCCCAACAAGACTTGGTTCTCAGAGCTCGTGCTGTTTAAATTAGCTCCTCCCTGGCGGATTCCCTTGAGGAGGAACCTTTTCTCCCAGGGGAAGGGCACAATCTGGTACCCACACCCAGATCTCTGGAACCTCCATGTCTGATCCCTGGACATGACCAGGAGGAACTCAGTGGTCTTTCAACTGCAGTGCTGAATACCATTATGCAGGCTAGGGCACCCTCTACAAGGTGGCTATACGACCTGAAATGGCACATTTTAGTGAATTATTGATGTTCCCATGGGAAGGATCCTCGGAAATATGGCATCAAATCTGTACTATCCTTCCTCCAAGAGGGCCAGGATCTACACTCAAGGTGTACGTGGCCACTATTACAACGAACCACGACCACTCCAAGGCCACGCTTCATGTCCTCTTGGGATCTCTCAGTGGTCCTTCAGGCTTTACAGAGAGATCCGTTTGAGCCTCTTCAGTCAGTTGTACTTGAAGACGGCCTTCCTGACTGTGCTCATTTCTATCAAGAGGGAGTCTTGATAGAAATGAGAGTCCTCTCCATTAATGAATCGTGCCTATAATTCAGGCCGGCAGACTCTCAAGTTGTCCTGAGACCCCAGCCTGGATATGTGCCCAAGGTTCCCACCACTTCTTTTAAAGATCAGGTGGTAACCTTGCAAGCTATTCCCCCGCAGGAGGGGGACCCTGACCTGTCACTGTTGTGCCAGGTGCGAGCCCTATGCATCTATTTGGAATGCACACAGAGTTTAAGACTGTCTGAACCAGCTCTTGAACTCAAGGTGGCTGGTAGGGTGTAGAGCTTGCATTTAGCGCCTTCCCCTCTCTGAGGTGATAATGTGCGCTTATTGAGTCCAGTTCAGTTCCTTCTTATGAACCCTGGACTACCCTTCCCTCACTCAACCACTTCCTTATGTAGCTGAGTTTAACAGACTAGCTTGCTAAAGAATCCATTACGAGTAAGTATCCCTCGAGGGAACTCTCATAACGGATTAGTGCTCCATACGTTTTGGCTCCCTTTGGTGGTCCCATATGTGTATTAGTCCACTGCTCTGTTCCGAATAGGGTTCAGTGTTTCCCCTAGTCAGACAGTCAGCCTGCTACTTGTTTCTGTGCTTAGTAGTTCTCCCCTTAAGCGGAGCCCACCACAGAAACGTTCCCTATGTAATAATCCCTTTTAGTAAGTCCATAGGATGAATCTGCATATGTTACCTCCCCTTCGGTAGGATGTGGTTTCCGCAGTGTTCTTTTCCCACTTGGGAAAACGAACGCTTTCCCAACGTTCAACCAGGACATTCCAACCGCTATCTATTCTTGCTTTTCTCAGAATGAGAAAAGGCTCCAGCTGGAGGTGACCTCTGCCTTATATGGCGGCTCTCCAGGATGTTGGAGAGTGAGGTCATAAGTCTTGGATGTTGGAAGGTTACGAGGAGGTGAGGCGCATTTGGTCATGGCACGCTGAGCTTGTCAACATCTGCGCCCCCATGGACTCGTAACACAGTTCACAGTTCAGCGTCTCGGTTACGTATGGTAACCCTCGTTCCCTAATGGAGGGAACGGAGACGTTGTGTCCCTTATGCCACAACTCTGAACTGCTTCTGAGTGGTTTAGACGATTCTCGACTCCTCAGAACAAAACAAGTGAGCAAATGTCACGCTGGCCTATTTATACCCGGATGTTCGGGGCGTGGCCAGCTATGCAAATTTTACTTGCCAATTTCATTGGCCTTTTCTCAATGTCAGAGGTGTCTGGGCTTTTAAGTGCGACCCCTAGTGTCAGAACTTCGACACAACATCTCCATCCCTCTATCAGGGAACGAGTGTTACCATACGTAACCGAGATGTTTTTTCTTTTCTTTTTCATATCCTCTTTTCTCATGTCAAAATAAAAATAAAAATTTTATAAAGTACAATAAATTATGAAAAATAAGTTTTAATATCTTAAATATATTGTTCTTGGAAACATGATGAAAATGCAGATTAATAAAAAAATTTGCAGTGAAGAACACAAAAGTGAAATTAAATTAAAAAGAAGTGGAAATGAAAAGGAGAAAAAGTGAAAAAAGAAAGCTGTCGAGACCCCTTTCAGGAAGTATCGCCCCTCCTTTGCTTTAATGAGGTTAACGTAAAAGCATGAGCAGAATACAGTCTCTCTTAATACACAACAATGGAAAGGTCGCCTGCTATCACATCAAGGCCCCCGTGGCGGTACAAAGCAAGTGTAAAATTACAATTACACCTTAATGAATGGCATATTTCATTACATACATGCTAATTAAGAAGTTTCGGATACAACTCTGGCTGTGATAAGCATCTGCTTTAGTACCATGACAGACTGTTCAATCCTCAGAGCTACATGTTGCTTTGTTCTGAGAGAGGGAAAAAAGACAAGAGCATATGCGTATTGGAAAAGGGTAGCGTTTGTGAGGCGGTTCTTGTGCTGCTTTCGGAGCGGGGCCTCTCGCTGCAGTGTCAGTGTTCCAGGTGGAGTGTGGGAGGAAAGGCTGGTGTTCTGGCTTTTGTAACGGGCACCCGTCTCCACAGGCTGACGCGAGTGCGCTAATCGCTTTAGCTGATCCCGCTCGGCTGTGTGTGAGGCAGATGTTTGTCAGGCCACAGCACTGCTCCGCGTTCACACTGCACTAAGCGAGATTAACCGCCACCTTTATATATTTATTTATTTCCCTCGTTCCCGTTCTTAATCCCCGACTAAAAAGCTGAGGGGAAAAAAATAGCACTATATTAAATCATTGTGTAAAGCACCCGGCGATCGTTTCACAGAAATTTGTTTTCCTCCACGAATTTCAAAGACCGGCATTGAGGAGAACAGCCAAATGCATAATAAGATAAATGTTTATGAAACAGCGACAAGGCCACTCTATCATATCGACATGCAACTCTCTGAGGTCTTGGAAATATTTTCCTGGTGTAAGTCAAAAAATAAGAAACATTTGAAGTGAGAAACCCAAGCCCTTGTCATTTGATCTCTTTTCCCCTTTCTTTCTTCTCTGTTGTTCCATTATGCAGGTGCTGGAGGCCTGAGGGTATGAGGCATCCGCAGGACTGGGCTGTGTGCAGATGCAGCTACCCTGTGCATAAACACTACCAGACGTCCATCCAGCCCAGCTCTGCTCTGCCGTATATTACTAACAGGCTTCCAATTTGGCCAAATCAACCCAGCATGTTCCTCTATGCTCGCCGCGCTCCCATGAAAAGGCATAGTCGTCCAGGATATGTAAACATCTCGCAGCTTATGGCAGAGGATGGGAATGACCCGCTGCCGGTACAGAGGACAATGTGCAGGTCAAACGTTATCCAGATGTTATGTACTTTGTTCTAAGCCGCTTGAATTGTTGTTACTGTTTCATGATTTTTCATGAGTTTTAAGACAATGGTAGTCATATTTACATACACTCATAGTGACCATATGAAAATCTTTAGTACTAGGGGTCAACCAGGATTTCTTTCTAATAGCTAATGCTAATATGTAGAATGACATGCATAAGTTGCTAAAAACATCTAAGCTGTGGCAAAGAAAGCAGTGTGTTGCAAGTGACATATAAAGGGCTGTTGTGCTTGATAAAGGTTCAAGACCGGCCTGGGTTACATCCTAGTCCTGTTTTTCCTCTTTTTCCCTGTTGGTTATTTCATTTTGGTTATTCACTGCCCAAAAAGAAAGCAAGCAAGCAAACAAACAAACAAATAAAATGTATTTATATATTTGAACATGATAGAAAGAATTATAAATTGTACAAAAATATGAAAGCATATATTTCATATATTAGTTTTTTCTCCATTTTAAATATTTGCATATATTTATGCATTTATTGCATATATGTTTATAAATGTAACAAAAATACTACTATGTTTAATGTTTAAATACAATAAAAAGTAATAAAAATTATGAAAACAACTAATAATAATAAGCATAAGTAAATATATATTTTATAATTTTTTATTTATACATTTACATATTTTATGCATTATATAAATTCTTATAAAATGTTTAAAAAATATATAACCATATATTTTTTTCTTTGATATATTTTTCTCATACATTTTGATGGCCTAAATTTATTGTAATAATTAATCGCAAGTAATCTAATGATTTTTCTACTTAAGCCTGAGCCTAAAGGTTCAGGTATACTTCATTTTCTGCATTCCGCTCAGTCTTGCGCACAGCAGTTTCCACATGGATGGATGAGTTCGACACATGCGCAGTACCTCCTAGTGAACTCTGAACATGAAAGTGGACTGTCTGAACATTTCACCTTGCGTGCACACTGTTGTATGCACACCGTCCGTGTGGACACAAAAAATGGTGAGCACTTAGGACAAAAAATGCACAGGAAACACTGCCTTAGAATCAAAAACAGTACTAATCTAAATGCAAAAAGGTAATAAATTAACTGTACAGTAAGGACAAATATCTCAATTTACAGGCACTGTAAATGAAAAAAAAAAATTTGAACCATGAAATTGAAAGAAAACAACGTCAAATTTAAAGGCATGCCGACCTGTGTGTTCTGCAAGCTGGGAGTAACGTCAGCAGCCCCCTCCCCCTCCCCCCCCTTCATAT